TTTGCCTCACAGTTTCAGAGGTTTCAATCCCAGGTCTGCTGGCTTTTATTGCTTTTGAACCTTTGACAAGTAGAACAAAGCTGCTCATCTGCTGGTGGCCAAAAAGCAAAGGGAGAGGAGTAGGAGGGGCTAAGTTCCCTTTATGGGCATAGCCCTCCATGCTGTAATTTCCTTCCACTAAGCCATGCCTTTTAAAAGTTCCATTATCTTCCCATACCACCATCAGATGGGGGGTCAAGCTTCTAACACAAAGGCCTTGGGAGGATATCCAAGATCTGAACTATAGCATCTACCTATGCAGAAAGACCTAGCAAACAAAACTTGAGATGCCTGGGAAGGAGAGAGATCTATCTAGCTCCAGGTACACCTGCTACCCACTGTTCAGTTTCAGCCACGATCTGCATACAATGTCCCAGAACCAGAGCCAAATTTGTGCACATGATCCCTTTGCAAGTTAGTGACCTACAGAAACAATACAGAATGTTTCCATTATGGTCATTTTTCTGCTAAGTTGTTTTTTTTTGAAAGGGGTTATTTTGAAGTTCAGAAGTGTCCAGGACATGAGAACAGTCTTCACAAGTAGCTGCAGGATTTTATATATAAAAGGAGCTAGACTTGGAGTATGAGGCTCCAGGGGACAGCACTTTGATCATCAGGTAGAGTTTATGGAGAGGTAAATTTGGTTCTTCCCAGAGAGCATCTCTGAGTGTAGAATTTGAGAAAGAATTTCCCAACAGTGTGTTTGGCTTTTCTTCAAAGTACAACACCCTGTCATTATACATTCAAGCAGAATTGATGGCAACTTTGGGGGGTGGGGGAGGAGAAAGGTGCTATAGGAGAGTCTAGTAAGCTCTTAAAAAGTACCTTCTAATTTCAAGAAGGCATCATATGTTTCTGTGTGCGTGTACTGGAAATGGAATTGAAGGCCTTGCACTTGCTATGCAGGTCATCTTCCACTTAAACAAGGCCTCCAGCCCCTTTTTGTATTTTTTGAGGTAGTGTCTCATTTTATGCCAGGGACGGCCTAGACTATGATCTTCCTCCTTGTGGCTGTAGATGACAGGTATGAACAACTGTGCCCAGTCATTGTGCTTTTCCAATTAATTTTCCCTCATAGCTGGAATAACAGGTGTATGGCACCACTCTCAGTCATTACTTGGGCTGGCTTTGAACTGTCATCTTTGGATCTCTGCCTCCAAGTAGGTAGGATTACAGACTTCAGCCACCACTACCACCTAACATATAATTTTTTTGTGCTGGTCCTGGGGCTTGAATTTAGGGACAGGATGCTGCCTTTAGCTTTTGTTGTTTTTTTTTTTTGTTTTTTTTTTTTAATGAAGGCTAGAACACTATCACTTGAAGCACAGCTCCATTCCCAACTTTTTTGCTGTTTATTTGACAATAAGAGTCTCAGACTTTTCTACCTGGGTTGATTTTGAACTGTGACCTTTAAGACCCTTTCCTCTAGGATTAGAGGCATGAGTCACCAGCACCTGGCTTAGGACATAATTCTTAATAAATGAAGCTGAACTGTTTTTGAAGAAGAAACAGTTAGAAAACTCTTCTTAAAAGAAGTAAGGACACTAGGCCTTTCAAACAGGAAGGGGTTATTTTATAAGGAATCAATGGACACTAACCAATACCTCTTTTTTTTTTGGGTCCGGTCGTGGGGCCTGAACTCTGGGCCTGGGCGCTCTCCCTCAGCTCTTCAGCTCAAGGCTAGCGCTCTACCACTTGAGCCACAGTGCCACTTCCGGCTTTTTTCTTTTTGCTTATGTGGTGCTGAGGAATGGAACCTAGGGCCTCAGGCATGCAAGGCAAATGCTCTACCACTGAGCCACCTTCCCAGCCCTCTTTTTTTTTTTTTTTTTTTGAGGCTCATGATCAGAACTGTTCTAAAATCTTTTCATTTGTAAAATTTTAAATTGTTATTATAAAGGTGATATACAGAGGGGTTACAGTTACCTAAGTCAGATGAGGAGTATATTTCTTTGTTTGGGTTTTTTTTAACCATTTTTTTTTCCTTTTTCTTCTTTGGTCCTGGGTATTGAACCCAGGATGTTGCACTTGCTAAGCAAGTGCTTTGCCACTGAGCTACATCCCAGTCCGAGTATACTTCTTTTCAGACAATGTTGCTCCTCCCCATGCTCTTTCCCAGTTTTTCCCTCCCATCCCCACTACAAGTTATACAAGTCATTTTCAACAGTGTCCAGTACCAGTGCTGCATTTGTTCTGTTCCTCCATTTCTGTGCTTCATCTTACCCTTCCAAAGACAGGTAAATGAACAAACAAGACGAAAAGAAAAGAAAAACAGCAACAAAGAAAAAAACCTCTTGTTTTCATTTCCTGGTGTTTATTTAGATAAATATCGTTTTAAATGATCAGAGGCACATCTGCATTGTGTCTTTGTGTTCCTTCTTTAAGAATGTCCTCTTTTGGTCTCACTGTGTGTGTGAATGCCTAGAATTCTGTATAATTTATCATGTTCTGGTATGTTATTTTATTTTTTTTAATTGAGATTAGGTGATTATATCAATTTCACATAGTTCACAGTATTGTGGAATAGTGATACTTAAAGTCACAAACACATTTTAGCCTTCAGAAGGCAAATTGTCATTATCATGGTCTATAAAGTTTATGAATTCTATGAGCTTTGACGATACGATTATTTCTTCCACATCAGGTGCTATTTACACTTTTCTTTCCTTTTGCTTAGTGTATGTTGTTCCCTCTTTCCCTCTCATTCCTCCCTTCCCATTGCTGTCTTTTCTGGTGTACTTTAGATCTAGCTTCTGCATACGAGAGAACAACCAACACCATCTCAACTACACTTCTATTTCCTTAAAACCAATTTTCCTTATCGTACTTATAAGGTAATAGGCCACTCCCCTTCCAGGACTTTCCTGGTCACAGCAGTCCTTGTCCCCTTTCACTCCTCACATCCCATGGGTTGCTAAATCATCCCACTCTATCTCACGCTACGTCCTGCATCCGTTTCTTCTGCTCCATTTGTCCTCTCACTGGCTCTGTTCATGCCACCCTCGCTTCCCATCTGGATGACTACAACAGTATTCTGGATGGGCATTACCCTACGGTAATGCCCGAATATGTCTGCCACTGGCTCCAGGGCCAAAACTCCCATTCACTTCACTTCCCAGCATGCCTGCCAATGCCTGTGAGATGCAACTACTTAGGCATCAAGGCTTTCATGATCTGGAGGAACATGAGAGGCAATGAGAAGAGGGAAAAAGGAGAGGAAAGGGGGAGGGAGAGAGAAGGGAAGGAAAAAGAGAGCAAGCAAGAATGTACCTGTCATACGCTGTCTTGCCACAATACTGTTTCCATGCTATTTTCCCACCTAAGTAAGGCCCCTGTTGTAACACGATGCTTAAGGTACCCATGTTTGGTGTGTTGTCGGCGGTATCCGGCTCACAGTAGATTTTCAGTATAACTTCCAGTGACTTAATTCCTGAAGGAATGCATTTTTTTCTATTGCAACAAAATCAGAAAGATTCTCAACTGGAGTTGGGCACCGGCGGCTCACTTCTATAAAGCTAGCTACTCAAGAAATGTATTTGAGGCTCTGGTATAGAACCAACCTGGGCGAATCTGAGAGACTCTGAGCTCCAGTTAACCAGCAAAAATCCGGAAGTGAAGGCATGGTTCAAGCAGTAGAGCACCAGCCAGTGAGCAAAATAACTGCGAGGTCCTGAATTCAAGCCTCATTGTGGACATCAGGTCCCCTTCAAAAAAGACAGACAGAAAGAAAAGGCGGAAAAAGATTCCCTAACGGACTTAAGCTCTGGATTTTATACTTCTGTATGTTTCCAAACTCCTGGCACAAAGCAAGCGCCCCATAAGCAATTGGACCAAACAGAATAATTCTGATTCGTCGAGTTCCGCCCTGGCAGCGAGGTCTGTATTTGGCAGGGTGACAGCACTCACAGCTATTAAGTTCTTATGTAAGAGTTGGTGACCCTCGGGGCCCTCCGGACACCCCTCTTACGACACTGCGGGGCCACAGAGTGGGCTGCAGCGCACGACACACACACACACACACACACACACACACACACACACACACACACACACACACACACACACACTCTGTTTTGGTGGGGTGGATGTGCAGGTTAATTTCCAGTGTCGGTTCACCACCAAGATCTTTACCACTGCCAGCTTCGCGCGGGGCGGGGGGACCCGAGGCGAACGGATTCGGTGGTCAAGGCCAGCCCACCTGGCGCGGCGTCCGCGAGCCTGGCAGACCGCCCAAGGGCTCCGGGTCTGCGCGTGACGGCGAACCCCGAACGGGACTCGAGCTCCAGGCGGCGTCTGTGGGATTCCCTAACGTCTCCGGGACAGACTGGGTCCTCGTAACCACCCTTCCCACCACCCCCGGACCCCCCTAACCTCAGCGAGCAAATGAGGCGTGCGGCCCGGGATTGATCACAGCTGCCCCGAGCCGCACGCGCGCGGCCGAGGCCGGCGTCCCCCCGCCGCCCCCCCACCCCGCCAGCCCACGCCTCCGCCTCCGAGCCGCACGGGCCGGGCGATCTCGGGAGATCGGGCGGGGCTCCGGCGCCGCGAGGCGCGGAAGATGGCGGCGCGGCCCGGCTTCGGGCGTCCGCGAGGGGCCGCGGCGCCGCGCGCTCAGCTGGGCCCGCGTAGCTGAGAGCGGCGCCTGGGCCCGCGGCGGCGCGGCCTCCTCCCCGCCGGCCCGCCCGCCCGCCCGCCGCCCGCCCGCCGCCCGCCCGCCGCCCGCCGCCTCCGCCGCGCCCCGCCCCGCCCCGCGCGCCTCGCCCGCCCGCCCCTCCCCGGGCCGCGGCCGATCCCCGCGTCGCGCTCCCCGGGGATGGCCGGCGCGCCTTGGCGCTGCGTCTCGGAGCTCACGGCGGAGCGGCGGCGGCCGCGCTCGGGGGGCGCGCGGCGGCTGCAGCAGCAGCAGCGGCGGCGGCGGCGGCGCCGCGCTTGAGGGGCCGCCCGGGATCCGAGCGGGGGCGCAGCCCGGCCAGCGCCGCCAACATGTCGGATACCAAGGTAAAAGTTGCTGTCCGGGTCCGGCCCATGAACCGACGAGGTGAGGAGCTTTCTCTTCGTTTCTCTTTTATTTCTGCTCGGGCACAGGACGGGGGTAACTTTGGAAACTGCCAGGGTGGCGGGAGCGCGGCCGGGTTGGGGGGGGGGGTGTTGGGGAGGTGCGGAGGCTTGGGGAGCCCCGGGAGCCGCCGGCAGCGAGTCTCCGGAGCTCGGGCCGCCCTCCCCGGGTACGCAGCCCCGCGCGCGCGCGGATGCTCGGACTTCGCCACCACGACCCTCCTCCGCCTCTGTGCTTTCAGAACTGGAACTGAACACCAAGTGCGTGGTGGAGATGGAAGGGAATCAGACGGTCCTGCACCCTCCTCCTTCTAACACCAAGCAGGGAGAAAGGTAAAGCGGGGTCGCCGAGGGCGGGCAGAGGAAGAGCCTTCTCGGGAGATCCTGCAAGTTGGGACCGGGGAAAACGGGAGTGCTCCTAGCTATTGTTAGGAGGGGGTGGCCTCAAGTTTGTCCCACGCTCCTGTAGGAAGTGATTCCAAGTCCAAGTTTCTCTTTTCCCTCTGCTCTTTCTTCCCTCCCCCCCCCCCCCCCCCCCCGCCACTTTCTTGTCTCCTCCCATTTACAGCTCTGTGGGTCAGGCAGGGCTGGACACCCTGGTCAGAATCAGCACCAATCAGCAGTGCAGCCACCCTCCCGCCCCAATCCCCCCCAGGGGGCTGCCAGGTATCTAGCATGTGAGGGGGGACAGTTGGAACCCTGTAGAAAGGCTCAGGCCGGCAAATGACCAACTCAAGGCCTTATTCGTGGAACCCAGCGCCCCTATTTCTTTCTCATTTTGCTTCCTCTGAGTGAATTGTTGAGGGACGTTTTGTGTAAGATGGAGGAATAGGTGGGTGTCAAGCACAGCAGCCTTGTAAATGCAGGCCCAGGCTGGACCATTTAAATTCTTTTTTGTTTTGTTGTGTGTTGTTGATGATAATGGTGCGGAGTTGAGATAATGCGCGAATGTTATGTGTGAATGCCTAATCCCCCCTCCCCCAACTGTATAGACACTTGGGGGATGTTTTAAAAGGGAGATGATGCATTTACTAGATGGCAACATATTTGCATTTGAAAAGTGGTAACTGTGGGATCCTTATTAATTCTGCTCTGTTTCATACAACTGTATGGGAGAAGGCCTCTGAAATAATTTGAATATTTGGCTTTTTTTTTTTTTCTGGTAAGCCTCTGAGAAGAAATCGGTTGGAATTCATTCGATATGGCAATGTAGTAACTTGTGACAATAGAAAAAAAGAAAAACCTGAACGTCTCCAAGGTTAATTCCTCTTGGAAATAAGTGGGAGTTTGTGTCTAAAAGTCACCTGTTGGTTGGTGAGCTACAAAGTAATGAATTCTGCACTTTAGAGATTTTTCACTAAAGACTTACTCCGAAATTAGATTTGTTACTTTGTTGCTTAAAAGAGGCAGCGGGCTTCCTTTTGTGATCATGTGTTCAGGCACTGTTTTGCTAAATTTGGGGGGAAAATATAAGTGCTTAGATTGGTGATTCTTTGCTTTTTGTGTTGAGCCTAGCAATTCTTATATAGTTTGCAAACATTCTGCAGATTCTTGGGGTGACATAAATGGCTGTTATTTTTAAAATGTGTTAAATATTTTATAGTTAATTAGTGTATGTTTGGACAGTATTTTTAGATGCATTTGCAATGTTCTTTTACTATATTTTCAGTTATATTTAGCAGTGCAGATAATGCATTTCATAGTGCTAGGAACTAAACTCATTAAGTATACTACAGTCTTTACAGTTTAAACAAGGTCCCTACCTATACCACCCTAGCTTTTTTTTCTTTCAAAACCGAATATTGTTACATTGTTTCAGAAGAAAATTTATTGGGTTAGATTGTTCAAGGCAGTCTGGGAAGCATGTAGAATGTTTTTAACTTGGTGTGTACTGCTTCTGTTTCCCTTGCTGCTTGATAGTCTAAAACATTCTTTTTGTTTCGTGTGTGTGCGCACAAGCGCAGCGCACATACGCTTGTGCGCACGTGTGCATGTATGTTTATGTACTGTTTCCATATGTATGTATGTGTTGCTGGGGATCGAACCCAGGGCCTTGGGCATGTTACTTAGGCAAGTACTCTACAACTGAGCTATGTCCCCCAACCCATCTTGGGTACATAAGGATGGTACAGTTAGTTACTATTTAATGAAATGATGTCTTGGCATTTGTGTAGAGAAACAGGTTTAATTTTGGAGAGTTTGCATAGTGTTTATAACTGATTACACATGTCAAATAACCAGTGGGGTAGTTTTTAGTGCCACCACATTAGTTTCTAATCAGAGTCATTTAAGTAGATTTGAAGGGTGATTCTAGCATTTATTATCCATTGGCTTCTTATTGCAGTAGACCGTTTTCTGGATCTAAAAGAATAGCAATGGCATGAGGATATTTTCTTCTGTCATGACAATTGCAATTCTTTGGTAATTGGCTCTTTCAATGGAATTCTGCTTGTGTCTTGGTCAGTCCATTTCTAGACAAACTTAATTTAAGAGAGCCAACCCAACCTAACAGTGCTACTTGTACCTGTAGATTAAGATGAGTCTTTGCAAGAATGAAGACATCAAATGCATTTTGATTTCCGTTATGCAGCTTAGTCTTATATTTCTTCAGGGAGCTTTCCTTTAAAGTAACAGTGCATTTAAAAATAGAAACAATTCCTCCCTTGGGCTCTGGGTTGATTAATTGCAACCAGTGATTCATGTTATATGCAATACCTCCCCCACCCTCATTTTTTTAACTGGTTCTGGGGATTGAACTCAGGGTCTCATGCTTACTGGGCAGGTGTAGTAGCACTTGAACCAAACCTCCAGAACCTTTTTTTTTTTTTCCTTTCTAACCATGGTTACTTTTGAGATAGGGTTTCATTTAATACCTGGCTATGATTCACCTAATTGTAATTCCTTGTATCATGTGCTACTGCATCCTGTTATTGATTGAGATGGAATCTTAAGAACTTTTTGCCAGAGCTGGTTTTGAGCTGTGATTCTCTGCTCTCTGCCTCTGAAGAAGCTTGGATTACAGTCTTAAACCATTTTGTTCTGGGCATTGCAACTCATTTCTATCATTTGTTTTTGGATAGAGCTCAGTACGGAACAAGAGTGAATGAGCAGAACACTGAGAGTATTACTTTTTAAAAATATCTATAAGTTCAGGGTTTGAAATGTAAGAAGTTTTTCAGTAAATATTGTCAGACTTGTGTCTCAAACTGAGAATTGTATTTTCCTGAACATTGCAAGAAATATCAATGCATTAATCCTGAGTAGAAGTTCAAAGTTACAAGGCACAAGTTTCCGTCTTACCGGTAAAAACAATTAAGAGTATATTGACTTTCAAGAAAAGAAAGAGACAGGCTTAGCTTTCCAACGTTTCCCCTTTTATGGGGTCAAAGTCAAGACTACACTAGTGAGGACTAAAATCTCAGTGGACTTCTGAGGGTAAAGATGTTTGTATCAGGGTTGGAATTAGAGGACTGTAATACAGTGCACAGGCCCAGGTTAAGAGTTCACCATTCCCATTCACCATTCCCAAACATTAAGACATATGCAAATTCATTTCTTGAAAAAAATAACAACCCACCAAACCACACTGCACTCTTTTATCCAGGATACATTTATGTTTGAGTGCCAGGCTGGGCCTAGGGGGACCAAAAATAATGATAGATCCAGTGACTGTGCCCAAGGCTCTCTCTTTGGAGAGTTATAAGAAGGAAAAGTACAACATGGTAATTATATAGGTGTATGTATGTTGTCCTTACGTGTCTTATGTTACCTGGAAATTCCCTCTACCCTTGAGGCTGTGTCACCTTGCTGAAGGCAAGTTGGTACCTTATACTCCTTTCTTCTGACTTGTGTTAGGAGACTGAGGCAGGGCTGTGGAAGCCACCTTGGGTCCTGGCACATAGGGTGACAGATGGCATTTGTGCTGGTCTTGTGGGTGCTAAGTGGAGGTTCACTTACCTAAGATGAGGTGAAAATCTGTTGCCAGTGAAAATGAGAAAAGACCTGCTACAAATGGCTTCTGGGTGATTACATGTGTATGAGCCCATGTCCATGGGGGTGGAGCAGGATGTGGAACCAGGCACTTTGCTGGGAGATGTGGGTGTAGGGATCAAATGCTAATTTCCTGGTTTGTCCAAATGGGTGAAATCCACAGTGAAAATGTCTTCTACTCACCCCTAATCTTCCTTGCCTCTTATCTTTCCCCAAAACGATAACCAAAGTAATATATTTCTCATGAATTTTTCTGGTGTGTATATGTATTCAAATACTCAAACAATACTCTCTTGCTTTATATAATGTATTTTAACAAATATCTTTCATTGGTGTGTGAAGCCTCTTTCCTTTTATATATCCACTATGGATAATAGTGGTAGTTAAAGTGTCCATATATATGGAGATCTCATTGGTTTATGGATCTGATCTTTACAACTTGGGAAATGAAGCTTTATAGGAAAAGAGAATAATGAAGCTTGCATTCTACAGGAATTTTTGTCATTATGTTGTGTAAATAGCCATATGAAGTAAAGTGCCTCTAACCTAGCTAAGTAAAAAGATAGTATTGAATATTATCTTGGAAAGAGTAACTTCCCTTAGCCTCTCTTCCTCCCTGTATGATCTCTTCTCAGCATTCTAATTTTTTTTTTTTAATGTCAGTACAGGGGCTTGAACTTAGGAAGGGCCTTGTGCTCTTGCTCAGCTTGTTCAAGGCTAGAGCTCTTATCACTTGAGCCACACTTCCATTTCTGGCTTTTTGCTGGTTGACTGGAAAAAAGAGTCTCATTCACCTCTTTGCCCAGACTGGCTTCCAACCAAGTTCTTCAGATCCCAGCCTTCAGAGAAGCTAGGATTATAGGCATGAGCCACTCGTACCCAGCAGCATTCTAAATTCTAAAGAGAATCCTTGGCCCAGTAGTTAAAACGATAGCTGCTAAATCTTTTTTTTTTTTTTTTTTTTTAATAGGATCCAGTGTATGTGATGAGCTTTGTAAACGCCCTCCTTAGTGTGGAGGTCTATGCATTAACTAACACAAAGTTTGCAAATTGCACTGGGTGGTCTCTCTGCTCTGATCCTCTTTTCCTTTCCTATAAAAGCTCTTTGTGCCCCATCATCCTCCACCCAAGATGGAGCGTTGAGGCTGAGCTCCTCTATCTTCTCAAGATTACTGGCCCTTGAACAACTCTTAGTGGTTCTGGGTAGTAAGATTGGTGTTGTTTACTCTAAAACTTGGAGTTGGGATCCAGGCCCACTCTTTGCCAGACATACCTTCTAATTGTCTTTCTATCTTTGTAATGAGTTTCTGTCATGGTTTTTCAATATCTCAAAGTGGGAGACA